CACTCTCTCGAATAGAATCACTTCATTGCTGTCTCAACTCCATAAAAGCTTGGTTCGACATCCTCCTCAACTCACCAGCCTCCTATTTTATAGGGTTACCACTTCCAGTATGGAAACAATTCGGAGGAGTTTTCTTCCCTTTATATCGTTTGACGGTGCTCAAAGATCCAGCATGGGATACCGACATGGTCAGGAGAGTTTGTGCGCCTAGAAGAATCTTGGATGCTTTAGGACAAAGTCTGAAAGAATCAGAAGCCGAGGCCGCCTGGGAAAGAACAAGTAGTGATTCCGAAAATATATTCACATGTTCGGAAAAGGTCATGAAGATGTTTAAAGCATGGGTGGATCGTAAGCCAGGGTTCAATGCGCCCATTGCCATTGCTTCCAACTCTATCGATGACTTCCAAGAAAAACAACAACAGCCAATGTCAGAGACAGACCAGATGGCTTCGATGTCAACTTTTATGCCAATGGAAATGGAAGATATTTGGTCGCAGGATTACATGGGACTCTGGGATATGTATCCCAACTCTCTTTGAATTTCTTATCAATGTTCCGCGGGAATTGAAGAGTTTGATGCGTCTCGGACACAGTAATAGTACAAAGATACTGGTATTGAAAATCAACCCCACTTTACTCAACATATTCATTCACTGACATCCACATAAAGGATTTATACCATGCTGACATTTTGATATCTTGGTATGCCCACCTTCCTCCTTCCTATCACCAAATCCCTCGGAAATCCTTTCCCCACATATACCCCTGATTTTCCGGGCTCTTTTGAAACCCGAACCACGATAACCCCACTCGGGGTTTCTGGATGACACGAGCCCCGTGTCCAATCACAATCACGTACGCCTGAACACTTTCCGGAAATATATCATCTGGCCATGCATGAAGACGTTGATGTTGTGCAATAAGAGTATGTATATACCTATTTATCCAGCGTCTTCTTCAGAATAATTATCACCATATTCATCTCCAGGTGGACCTTAATACTTTCCACAAAATGGCGTCTTCAAACTTCCCAGCAAGAACTCATACCACCACCCGCTCATTTACCTACTCTTACATTCATATCCAGCCCTCATCCCCCTCAAAATCTTATATTCTTTTTCTCCATGGCTTCCCCTCCTCCTCAAATGACTGGCGCCATCAAATAACCTACTTCTCCTCAAAAGGTTATGGAATCATTGCTCCTGACCTTCTTGGATTTGGCGGCACCTCCAAACCACTGTCAACCCAATCCTACAAATTCAAAGACATGGCCTCGGACCTACATGAAATTCTTTCTTTGCACTCCATTTGTGCATCTCATAAAGTGTTAGGTGTAGGACATGATTGGGGAAGTGCTATGCTTTCACGCATGGTGAACTATTATCCGGAATTATTCAAGAAATTAGTATTTCTAGATGTGGGATATCAGGCACCTGATGGACCGGCTTTCAATTTCGACATGGTGAAAATGATCAATGCTCAAGTTAAGAAGATGGCCGGGTTTGAAATATTTGGATATTTCTTTTTGATGGATGAGGAGGATAGTACAGAGTTGTTGGACAAAAATGTAAGATCTTACAGTTCTATTTGGTCTCTATCGGGTCTGTTTATGCCGAATATAGAATGTTAACATATGTCAACGTAGTCCGAATCAGTTATGTCCTTGTATTATAGCATTGACAATGAGCTAGGCAAAGAGCACATGGGAGCTACTGGCGGTTTTCGCAAATGGCTTGAGGGGGGTATGATAGCTCCTTATCCCTATTTTATAAAGAGTGAGGTGAGTAGAGATCATTCCAGCCATGCTTGTGACAACCCGTGATGCAAATATCATTGCTGACACGTATCTCACAATCAGGACATTGAATATTTCAAAAATATATTCTCACCCAAAAATGGTGGATTTGGCGCTGCAAAAAATTGGTATACTATGCAACTTCATGGGATTAACGAAGATGATGATAAAGGTACTATCCCCCCTCTTCTTTCATTCTTACTTTTTTTTCCCTTTTATTCCTCTCTATTAGCTCTCAATTCACAACAAAAACTAACTTCTCATCTCAGCAATCCCTAAAGAACGCACCATCGTTCATCAACCGACTCTTCTCATAACGTCCACCAATTTCATTAGCTCTGGCGCTGATTTCCCCTCGCAAATGAGACCTTACATTCCAGATTTCAGAGTTGAAAGATGGGAAGGTGGACATTGGATTCAACTAGAGAAGAGTGATGAGACAAACGCACTGTTGGGGGAGTTTTTCGAGGAGACTTAAAAAGGGAAGGAGATGAATTGGTGGTTGATTTAATCACAGGGCATAGACAAACTCGTGATTTTCCTTGTCCGTCAAATCAAGAAACTCTTGTTTATCTAGCTTTTTGTAACCCGGCGCGGCTCTGATCGCTTCGTTCTTCTTGTTCATCCTGTTGTAGTACCAAGCAATGAAAGCGACATCCAAGGCACACACTCCATAACATACAATAATGGTTATTTCCGCTGGTTTATACCGTGGCGCGTCTGCTGGTCTGAACACCTGGGGGCCGATTATGTTGCCTATGCAATAAGCAACTAAATACAGGGCTGCAACAGTTGTTTTCTTAGTGTAACCTGCGACGTTACTCGATATCATGGAGAGAAGTGCAGTGAATGGCGTTGGTGAAGCTTGTGTTAGGTAATAACCCGCCAAACGACCACTGTTGTTGGATAAAGGGAGCGCAACTATAAGTATCATGCCTAACATCGCTACCAAGAGACCAGATATGGAGATGAGAAGTCGATGTCCATATTTATCACCAAAATAACCACATGCGATGAGGGCTATAACTTCGACAGCACCACCCGGAGTTCCGTAAAGAAGTGATTCATCGGGAGTGTAGCCAAATGAAACGATGAGCTGGGAAAAGAAGTTGGAAATTCCACCTATGTTTTGTCAGTTTCGAGGGATTATAACCGAATCCGAGTCAACGTTGAGGTTCTTCTTACCATTAGGAATGTCTGCTACCAATCCATAAAAGACGAATGCCCAAGTTACCGGATCGGCAAGAGCTTCCTTCAATTGATACATTTTAAAGTGTTTATTGCCCACACCTTGTTGGTTCTTTCTGATACGCTCCACTGCCATGAGTCTCTCTTGTGGTGTAAGGAATTTGGCATTCAATTGATTATCCGGCATGAAATATAGAAATATGCAGCCGATAGTGACTGTCAACAGACCAATGGCCAAGAACACAATCTTCCATGAAGCAATGGTCGATCCGTGTTTTTTAACACCCACTGATATGCCATAAGCAACGAGACCACCAAATACTTGGGCAAAGCCATTGAAACTGAACCATATTCCAGTTCGTAGACCTTGCTCTCTTTGCGTGTACCACTGGGATGTAAAGAGAGTAAATCCAGGAGTTACTGCAGCCTCGAAGACTCCCAGAAAGAAGCGCACAGCCACAGCACCCGCAAAATTGCTTGTCGCGGCCATGCAACACAAGGTCCCACCCCACGCTATGATATTGAACGATGACCATTTAGCGAGTGGCAATCTCTGCAGAAGAAGATTGGTGGGATACTCCCAAACCAAGTAGCCGATGTAGAACATGGATCTGTACTATGGATTAATCAACAGATTCCTCAAAGGAATAAAACCTGAACTACAAACACTCTTACCCTAGCCATTGATAATTGTCCCCCTTAAGATCAAGTGAGGTCTTCATCCCCATAATGCTGGCATAGGAAAGAGTGGTTTTGTCGAGATAGTTGAGCCCATAAACAACACAGAGCATCTGTGAAAATGTCGTGAGTACTTCGATGGGGATTATTCGATAAGAGACATACCGGCATCAAATTCCAATCAATTTTTCTCAGCAATGCCTTTTCCATCTCTGGCGTCATGACAACAACTTCACCGTCATGTCCAGCAAAAGCTTTGAGCGCTTCATCGCCGTTGTTTGGATCAGCATGCTTGAACATGGGACCTTGCCACTCCCCTTCACCCAAGGTAACATTTCGCTCTAAGTCTTGTGACTTCTTTTTGATATCATCAGCGTCGGTAGATTGATGTTTTTCATCAATTGGGACCGCCATAGTGTAGATGATAACTGTAATAGGTAGTCAATCACACTTCGACTGTCCACGTAAAGAAAAGGCCAATTATTACTAGTGATGAGCAAACGAAACAAATGTCCAATTAGGGATGGTGTCGACGAGTGAAAGATGCAGTTTGCAATGTGTAATCAATGTATGATGATGATTTGATTGAACGAATAACGAAGAAATGAAGGGATCACAGACATCACCGTGATGGAAAGGTAGTACGAATACTGGACTACAAGTGAAGTAGGTCATGCATGTACGAGGCGTGTGCTATCTGAAGATCATCACTAGTCCACAGAATTGACTATGAATGGAAGTGTTATCATCACTCTTCCCTCTCTCACGCCCCTCATGTTTGAAGATACTCGATATAGGTTGATCATGCGTTGATAGTATAGTTATGCGTCTTGGATCATATCTTATCATTTCTTATCAGTTCTTCTTCATCAATGAGGAGGGGTGAGAGATATGAAATGAGGGGAAAACATCGGGCGTTGGGAACATTGAACACCATTGGAGAAAAGTCTCGAAATTTATACCAAAGGGGAAAGAATCTTCGTGGTAGAAAGGTCAAAAGGGAAGGTTACATTTGAATATCTTGGGCAGATGATAAGCTTGGAGCTTGGAACTTGGAACTTCATTACCTCATGATGTTGAATCGATAAGAAGCCACGTGATGAAGCTTATATCATATTACATAAGGTTATCTATCTTGGCGAGCTTGGATGCTTGATAACTCAGCTCGTTCAGTTGCTGGGTAGGTAGGGTGATTACCTTTCCATCAAGAAACAGTTGCATTCACAATCAACCTATGATTCAACATGATGCTCGCCTTGTCTGTTCACTAGGGCAAGACAATGATCGATTGCTATGAACACTACCCTCAAGTGAGTGAATGCTCATGGTAAGATTACAAATGGAGGCTGATTACGAAGAGCTTGATGAGCGTGAGCACAAAGAGCGCTAGCTCAAAGAGTCAAACTAATAAATTTTAATCTCAGATCCAATCATGAAAAGAGAAGGCATGCGACTTGTGATGCGCACGGTCGAAAATTCGTTCGCCCTCAGAAGGGCTCTGCTACAATCTCACAACAGTCCAAATGGAGAACGAACATTCGATCATGCGATATCACCCACATCCTTCTGCAATTCAATGACGGCCTCGAAGCTCAATAATAAAAAATTATCAGTTGGCTTGACAGTAGACAAACATCCCGCCATGTCATCAATTGCCATGCCGAACTGGAGCTCTGACTCTTCGAAGCGGCTCATCTGAAAGGGCACTCATTTGACGATCTGCATAACGTCCTTCTCACTTGGATTTCTCAGTGAAGCAAAACTGGAAATTATATCGGAATTGCTACTAGGAGTACAAGAAATACAGCTGAAAGTCGAGGGTTTTTACACAAGTACGGGACTTTGGTGTGTGTATAAGGGCATCTGGAACAAAATGTGAGTGGTAGAAGGTATATGTGATTCAAAGTACCCAAGTCCATCAGACCCTCGACATTCAAACACTCGCCTTGCTACAAACAGGCTTGAGAGTCCTGCAAGAAAAAGATCTCAGAAGAAGTATCGGATTCCAGCACAGTTCGCTGTTCAGGTGGAGGCGATGATGAAACGATTGACGAGTTAATCCACATCTGCGCTGGATTTTGCCATCGAAGGAATTACAAATTACGGAGATCGTTCGAGGTTTATTAATTCAGCATATTGATGGCACTTGAATTTTCTAGCGAAGAAATCCAAGTCAAGGAATGACAGACTAGATTTGAGTTTACCAAAAGGATCCTTGGTGTATCAAGGTCCAATTGCATGGTAGCGATAATCTACTTTTATTAGCTGCGGAATTCCGCACGAAGGTTCACATCTCATGAATCTTGAAAAATCTAGCCCTTCTAGTGGAGAGTCCGATGCCCATTCCACGGTGTTTTATCCATGTTTAAAATGCAGTAACGCAATCTTGAAAGCGATTGGTTTCGAATTTCTAGTTGTTTACGAGGACATTTACACATTCCCCCCCTCCTTTTAGCCCTCTTTCGTTGTTCATAAGATGATCCCACCCACCCCCCACAAACTTTCACAACGAGCCTCAGAAATCTATCTACAGTCAGCAGCAATCCATGGAGTTAACACACGTATCAACTACGTACAAAGTTGCTGGGACATATAATGTGAACTTTGATTATGCTAAAGTTTGGCGCCTGATTGTCTGAAATTACTGTCAATAACGACGACGAGTCAAATTGTCTGCAGAAGAATTAAGGTCATGTACTGGATGCCGTACGGACATCCGATTAAGAACAATACCATCGATGAAAATGTATATCACAGCTATTAAAAGTATGAATAAAAGATAAAATCGCTTACACGCGTGCTAACGAGACTCTAATGGATTTATCATTTGTGGATCTGGTCTTGGTCTCAATGTCAGCCCTACTCAGCTCCAGCGAAGTTACCTCTAGTGATGGAAGTTATATGGTAAATGCACAAGTGATATTTCTTTGGCCAAGCTTAGTTACGCAACCACTGTCTGTGGACGTGCCATCTTTTTTATCCTAGCTTTGTTTAATGATTACTTTCTTTCTGTACAATCCTTCCGCCAAATCCCTCCGCATTTCGGATATAGCCCAAAATCCGATCAGATATCTTTGAACTCCTCCACTCCTGGCGTTTGTTCTAAAATCCGGTATCACCTCCGGCCTAACTTTTCTTCCGCCCGGACTATTCCAAGTCTTTGGTGTCCGATGAGTTGTGCCGGTTAGTAACTTGACGTTGATTGTTTTCCCTGGTCCGTCGCAGGTCAGTAGTCATGGCCTTGCGAGTCCATTGCTTCCACAGTAAGCACTATGTATTAATCCTTGATCCTCCACAACTATGAATTCCATGTTTAGATGGCAACTGGCTCAACTTCAGAAATATTATGGAGAAAAGAACATCGATATTGACTCTGAGTAGACTCTTCTTAGAACTGTCATTTAAGATTAAGAGTCATGCCGACTAGAATGGCAAGGCTTCTCTCATGAATCTCACAGCGGCTTATAAAGCACAGTCAAGTAATATTTTCTTTTTTCTCCGACCCTTGTCTCCTAGAATGAAGCATGCCTCTCGGCTCCCTTGGAACTTTATATATTGTGGGACCATCTCCATGTTTGAGGTTGAGTTGTACGGTAGGTGGTTTTTAACATAGTCACAACAGGTCTCTTGAACTCTTTAACTAAAAGGTGGATAATCTTTCATTGATAAGACATATTGAGTTATTTTGACTGACAAGCTCAGACAGATTCAAAAATGGCGGATCCTTCATCAGAGAAACTTGCAGAGTCTTCTGCTGCTTCAAGGAAGTCTCTCAATGTTCCACCAAACCAAACGGGCATCTCCTCCGAACTGGCATCCATCTCAGAGATCGATCAAGAGAAAGCACAAGTTAAGCAAACCGAGGATGTTCCTCCAGTACGAGACATTACAGGTTGGAGATGGGCTTTGGTGGTTGCTGCCATACTTTCCTCCACTTTTCTCTTCGCGCTCGACAACACCATTGTGGCAGATGTCCAAGCTGATATCGTCGTTACCTTCAACGATGTTAGTAAGCTTTCGTGGCTTAGTGTGGGCTTCCTCATTGGCGCAGCTAGTACGAATTTAGTATGGGGAAAGATTTTTGGTCAGTTTAATGCGAAATGGACATATATCATTTCGATTATTATCTTTGAGGCCGGCTCCGCGTTGTGCGGTGGTGCTCCCAATATGCCTGCTTTGATTGTTGGGAGAGCACTTTGTGGATTCGGTGGTAGTGGTGCGTATGTGGGTGTTATGACACTGCTTGCTGCTTCTACTACTATTCATGAAAGACCGCTTTATATTGGGGGCACTGGAATGACTTGAGGCTTAGGCACTGTAATAGGTCCAATTATTGGAGGTAGGTTTATGCACATCCTTTTGATGGCTTATACGAATTAATTGTACTAACAATGGCAAAGGTGCATTCACAGATTCCTCTGCAGGATGGCGTTGGGCTTTCTACATCAATCTTTGCATTGGCGCAGCTTGCGCTCCAGTCTACTTATTCCTTCTCCCAAACTACGATCCCCGCCCTGGTGTTCCACTCCTCAATCGCGCAAAAGAGGTTGATTGCCTCGGTGGCATACTTATAATTGGAGCCTTTGTCTCTGGTGTCATGGCCGTCTCATTCGGTGGTGTAACTTACCCTTGGAACTCTGGAAAGATCATCGGTTTGTTCGTCTGCTCAGGTATCTTATTCATCATCTTCAGCATCCAACAAGTTTATACTATCTTGACCACGAGCAGCCGCAGAATCTTCCCTATCGAATTCTTGAAGAGTAGAACAATGCTTATTCTTTTCGCCATGACATCTGCTGGAGGAACCGCTATCTTCATCCCTATATACATGATTCCAATCTTCTTCCAATTCACCCGTAACGACTCAGCTCTCGAAGCGGGTGTTCGTCTTCTTCCATTCATTTTCCTGATGATCTTCGCCGTCATATCCAACGGTGCTATTCTTTCTGCATACGGTTACTACATGCCATGGTACACCGCAGGCGGAATCCTCGTCCTCATCGGCGGCTCTCTCATGTTCGCTGACGTCACCCCCGATACCTCTATTGCCAAAATCTACGGCTTCACCATCCTCATCGGTTTCGGCGTCGGTCTCTTCGCCCAAGCCTCCTTCTCCGTTGCGCAAGCCGTCGTTGCCGAAGAACTCGTTTCTTCCGCCGTCGGTTTCATCACCTGCGCACAAGTAGGCGGTGTAACCATCGCTCTCGCAATCGCCAATTCCGTCTTCCTAAATGGAAGTCAGGAGAAGATCCAAGCCATCCTACCTGATTTACCAGCTGCGGAAATCCAGCAGGCGATTGCGGGTGCGGGTAGTGAGTTTGTGAAGAATTTGACAGAGATACAGCAAAAGGAGGTTATTCAGGCGACTGTGGAGAGTATGAGTAAGACTTATGCTATGGTTATTACGGCGGGAGCGTTGACTGCGGTGTTGAGCTTATTGATGAAGAGGGAGAAGCTTTTTATGAGTGCTACTATAGGGGGTGCTTAGATGAGGGATTGGTATCTGAGCTAGTTTAGAGGTTTTTATGGGAGGATGAGTTGCTCTAGGCTTTCTATGAGTATATGGGGAGTATAGACTAGAAATGGGGATTGTATTGATGAACACTCTAGGATAGTTTCTAACCTATAAAATGGGGTGTGTCATTAGCCCTGGTCGGAGGTTTCCAGAGGACGATAATTGTGTTAATAATCAAGCTCCACTACATCATGCAATCTTCTCAAACATTGACTATCACATAATTCTCATGCAATTTCTACCACTGATTATATTTAATGCTTATCGCCTAAAAATGCCATCTGTATTATCTCTTTGGTAGAAATGACAACATCAAACCATCCTCTACGCTGTTATCAACCATTACATTTCGTATTTTTCAAAGCAAATAATAATATCAGGCTTAAACGTCCCCATTGGTGATTGTCAATGCTAATGCTCATATGTATTCCTCGTGTTTTATGTGTGGCTATGTTAAACTAAAAATCCCAGTCCACATCGCCCATTGATGTGTTCATTCATCGATACACTCCCTTCCCATCTCCCACCAACCCTCTTCCAAACCCCAACAAATCTACAAAATCTTCCTTGTGAGCTATTGACGTCCCGGGCATATGTAACAGTGGTAGAGATCTTTCTCATTCTTCTCGTCAAATGCAAAGAAACTGACCACTCAACCGCGTGAACATTTTCATTTTTCCCTATCCCCTAATCTCGAACCATCCATGCCCTTCATTTTTGACAAAAGAAACATCAATCAACCCACAATCCGATTCGCTCTGTGAAAGTTGAGCCCATTCATATTTGATCAAAGAATGCCAAAAAATACAAAAAACGCCCTATGATATGCATAATCTCCCACCCAACCCATTCCCAAACGCCACGCTTGAGTCATCAAGTTCAGTTATTGTAGACCACGACACGTCGAGTCCAAAAGGGCAAAAAGGAGAAGCTTGTGCGCGTCAAAAAAAAATTAATAAAGTGAACAAAGAAAAAAGTCTGTTAGAAGTGTAATGTGCCTGATGAAGGCAAATAATATGACATTGAAAAGAAAATATTTGTGTAAGCTGAGTTGTGTTCGCAATAGTAGTTACCACATTAGGTTCACCGATCTCTCCTTGAATTTTTACCCACATTAAGATAATCAACGTTCTCACCCATGTTCGAAGACTTTGAAGTAGGTCGAGGTGTAGGAAGGAAATCCCCATCGACAATTGTTTGTGATGACTTTGAAGCAGGCCGAGGAGTATTTTCTTCGTCTATGAATGAGAATTGTGACTGTGATTGTTTTGGTGTTTTGAATATATCAACCTCTTTATCGCCGAAACCTTGAAATTTTCCGGGAGGTGTTGAAGTAGCCTCGGAAATTTTGGATGCTGGAGGCATTTCTGATGTCGGTGATGAAGTAATCGCCTCTTCAGTGACGGTAGGTGGTGGTTCAATTGAGTCAGAACTTAACAATTCTGTTCCAGACACAACACTACCACGACTGTTCGTGCGCATCATTTCTGTACCAAGCTTAGAGCCACGATGTGTTTTTGGAGAAGTGGTAGCCTTTGGACTAGTCTTTTCTCGTACAGCAACATCACCTAAAACTTCATCCTCATCATCGCCAGATTCTGCACATTCGTGGCGGTTCTTCTCCAAAATTTCCCGTTTCGCCTTCATTTTTTCAGATGATCGTTGGCGAGAAAGATTTCGACGGTGTTCTAGTCGTACTGGGGAAGGGCTGTTTGGAAGAAGGTTGGATGGCGGAAGTTTAGGTAATTCATTATCTTCAATCATGTCAACTTCGTTACTGATACCAAGCCCAGTCTCATCCCAATCGCCTGTAGGTCTCCTATTAATGACAACAGGAAGATCATCAGTTGGAAAAGCCTCGGTATCCTCAAAAAGACTTGAGCTGATAGAATCTTCACGACTTGAACCTCTAAAACTACCAGCTGGCATATGTGCAAAACCAGACGAAGCAGAAGTAGGGCTATCTTCAAGACGTAAACTCTCCTGACGTAGACCAGACGGTGGAGGATATGCCGGAGAGAAGTTCAAACTTGATATAGGCTCTTTCCATTGACACAGTCTACAAAGGACTTCGGTAAGCTTCGACGCTGTCGGTGGCTTTTCAATTAATGCGTCGAATTGATGAGGTGCTTGAAGCTCTTTCAGGTATCCAGTGATGGCAACTATGGGAGTTTGAGAATTGGCGTTCTTCGTTTCGCGAATCATTCGAGCAACATCTGCACCATTGAGTTGAGGTAACTTGAATTCCATCATAATAATATCAAATTTGATATCACCAACGGCATATCTCAATGCATCAGCACCATTTGAGACCGTAACTGTTCGACAACGTAATTTTTCCAACAACTTCTCCATAACCATTCGTGATACTGGGTGATCTTCACAGATAAGTACATCCAAAGGTCTAAAAGCAGGACCATCAGATAAGGTAATCTGGGACATCCGTCTTGAGCTTTGACGGCGACGTTGAACACGAAGTAACGCATTAGCCTTTTCTCCTTCATTGTCCGAAGAAGAAGGTGACATATCGAATACTTGACTTCGTCGCTTGCGATGGGATAAGAATTCGCCTGGTAAAGGGCTTCCTTCTTGTGATCCAACTGTTTGCGAGCGAGCTCTAGATGATGATGAGGTACCACTACCTTGTCGGGGAGTGGCAGGTGGTTTTGCTGGCGATGATAATGAAAGTGGTGGAGGTGCAGACCCACGTATTTTGATAGGCGAAGAAGCGGCAGAACTAGTGGTCTTATGAAGCCCAGGCGATGTCCTAGGCCCGTCCATAAAACTAGCAGGTGGTGCAAGATTGTTGCTCGATTGCTGTGATAAGCTCGAAGAATTGCTCGAAGTTTTACGTCTAGCTTCATTATTCTGCCCTGCAATAAATGAGACAAGTAACGGTGATGAAGGTTGTGAAGCCCTACTTGGAGAAGCATCTGCTTGACTGAATCCAGAAGGAGACGAAGGTCGTGCAGTAGCTTTAGCATTTGACAAGGTTCTTTGAATAGGCATTGGCATTGGCATTGGCATCGGCAATACAGGACTTCCATCTAACGCAGCGGGGGATGTTGCTGCGGTGTTGGCACCACCAGGACTAACAACTGGCTTGCTTGTGGCCGACATGGCTTCCTGTCGTAATTTCTGGATAACATCTTTGTTCGCCTTTTCTAGAACTGGTAAGTTTTTGAAAGTAAAGTTGCCAAAGTCATCTGCTACTACAGGTTCGCTCAGTCGCCTGCTCTTCATATCTCGGACATGAGGTGGAATGTGTAGTGGCATTAAACCTCGTTTCACGTTATTGACTTGACTCCGGACTCGAGATAAAGCATCATGAGGGCGTTCGGGATATTCGGCACCAGGCGTGGGATGCTGAGTAGACGCTTGATCTTCCATCTCTTCCGCGAAAGATTGCAAAGTGGCTCCTCTCGCATCAAAATACTCGGTATCCTCGGGATTCTCCGGTGCGGGAACAAATTGTGCATCGTCTTCGAGTAATTTGTCCCACTGAGTGCCTTCAAACCAAGGATGGCTTCGAATTTCATCGCCTCCAGTAGGAAACTTCTCATCTTTGTTGGCCCCAAGTCGTTTCTGGGGGTCTGAGCATAGAAGCTTATTCATGAGGTCCTTAGCCTCATCCGAGACATCGTAGTCACCTTCATCTGGCCATGAAATTCGGCGAGCCAGGATGTTTTCGAAAACTTCATCCGGTGTACCAGCATGGAAAGGTGGGTAGCCATAGATAAATTCAAACATGATACATCCTACAGACCACCAATCACTTACTTCATCTTGACCAAGACCATTTACAGTTTCGGGAGCAAGATAGTCAGGTGTACCAACAAATCGACGATTACTATCATCAGGATCGAAAAGAGCCATTGGAGGTGGCATCATACCCGTGCTAGTTTGTGGTGGTGTACTGTGCCTAGCATCAGAACTGTGACTCGTAATCGGGTGAAGGCATAAGTCTGGTGATCCGGCAGCCTCATTCTCGCTCAATTCTTCAATAGGTGTTCTCCTTTGATTGAGCACTTGCTGGTTTTGGGATTCGGTCAGAGAAAATTGGTTGAACATAGTAGTTAATGCATCACTACCGCCGCTATCACTCCTATGGCCAGACTTACGTCGCGCATCCTTGCTGATGGTATTTTCACGACTCAAATTGAAGTATGAGGGTGTTCCCAAGCTACCTGCAACATCGGGGGTCATTTGAGGTGTTGAACCGGGTGAATGATGGCCCTGATAATCGAATGATGAAGCACGAGAAGAACTCATGGAAGTAGCTCGAGCAAAAGGACCTTGTTTCAGCAGATCTGGAGCAGACTCATTCGCTACGCTGCTTAATACTCTCTTTTGACGTCCAATCAAGCCCATTCTCGACAACCCGAAATCAGTCAATTTAAGATGACCCTTTTGATCAATGAGAAGATTGTCAGGTTTCAAATCACGATGTACAATGCCACGACTGTGAAGATGTTCAACGCCAAGGATTACCTCACCAAGGTATTTCTTTGCCCAATCTTCCGAGAGGCCTCCGAGAACTTTGATGAGAGATGCGCAATCGCCACCATTGAGATATTCCATCACTAGGTATAGATAGTCTTTGCTCGAAAATGTCCAATAGAGCTTCGCGACAAAATCACTCTCACCTTGCCACATCATGATAGCACGTTCAGCCTTGACATTTGTGACTTGATTCTTGGCAACCATGTCCGCCTTCTTGAGTACCTTGATAGCATAGTAATCACCGGTTGACTTCTTCTTCGATAGGTAAACACTACCAAAGGCTCCCTTACTGATAGGTTTGATGATCTCAAAATCCTTGATCGACGGTGGGACGGCACGTGCTTGTGGAGCACTTACAGAATTTAATCGGGGCGAAGGTGGTGGTCGTGGGTCTGATCCAGCAGCCGAGGACTGACGTCGATGGTGTGACGGAACTAATGCGGGTGAGCTGAACTCGCTTCCGGGAAGCA